GATCCTTGAATATGGTATTGACCATGACCTGAAACGACGCAGGAGCGTTGGTCAAGCCAAAAGGCATTACCCTATATTCGAAGAGGCCGTATTTCGTTCGGAAAGCGGTTTTCCATTCTTCGCCCTTAGCAATCCTAATCAGATTATAGCCATTTTTCAGGTCTATTTTCGTGAAGTAGAGTGCTCCTTTCGTTGCGTCGGCCAGCTCGTTCATGAGCGGCAGTGGATAACGGTTCTTGATTGTGATTCCATTCAAACCGCGAAAATCGACACATAACCGAAGCTTACCATTAGCTTTCGGAACGAACAGGACGGGTGCCGCTGCTGGGCTAGTGGAGGGGACTACTTTGCCGGAGGGCAAGTTTTCGTCCAAATATTCTCGGAGTGCCTTGTCTTCAGGTGGGGAGAGCGAGTAGATCGGTCCCCACGGAGGCTGCTTTCCTTCCATAAGAGGAATGGTATGATCCCATTCAGAGTGGTCAGGTAGTCGAGCGGCTCCTTCCTTGGAGAACACGTCGGCGTATTCCTGAAACTCCACCGGTATAGCACTAACGAGAGCCTCGTTTACCAATGCTCTTGCCCAAAAGGGGTGTTGCTCGATCGTCATCTGCTTCTTGGGTGACGCCCTCAGCAGCCTGATGACCAACTCTTCTGGGTCTTGATCGTAGATGTCTTCGACTGATACGAAGCATCCATTGACTATACAGTTGTTGCTATGGAAGCTAACACTGTTGCGTCCCCAATGGATGGTTGGTTGATGCTCCTTGAGCCATCGATGTGGTATGACGAGGTCCTCTCCTGCAAACGAGCCAACCTCACAGGTGATAGCCCTGTCCAGATGGTTGCCGATGCGGAGGGAAAGAGGTTGGGTGGTGTGAGCGCCGGAGTTGGGCATAGGGGTACCATCGGCCTGTCTGATAATGAGAGGCTTTGGTCGAGGTTGAGTAGGTATTTTCGCACGGTGGATACAATCCCAGGACATGATCCAGTCCTCTGTGCCACTGTCTAAGAGTGCATTGACTGTTGCGACATGTTTGGTGCTAGTTGCGGGGTGGTCCCAAGAGATCTCGATCTCGAGACGAGTTTCTTGTGTGTTGGAAGACATGTTTGTATGTTGGTTTGGTAAAAGGTTTGTATTGGTTTTGGGTGTGGGTTTCGATGATTTTTCTTCGTTGAGCGTGGGGTGAGAGGGTTTATATAGAGAGTTCGAGTGTTCGATGAAGATCATGGTACAACACTTATGCACCAGGCGTTTCGGGGTGTAACCCCATCCTCAGAGTGTGTGTAAAGAGAATTGAATTTCCGCGCGTATAAAACAAATATAGAAAATCTCGTGGCCAACCCATAAAAATACCCGTAATACATAAAACCCTTGTTTCCATAGCCCAAAGTAGAAAGAAACCCGTAACGTAACATGAGATACCGAAAAATAGAAATACCCAATCAATTTTGATCCTCCAAAGTTGTAATCCTTGCCCTAAACGCCTCATTCTGGGGGCCCAATTTCCGCTTCTTTTCACCCTCCCTTCCGTGGTCCTTTCCTCCGGAAGGATACCGTTTCCTCTTCAGGTCGGTTAACCTGACCTTACTCGTCGCCACGCAATCTTTCGCGAAGTGGTTATCTCTACCACAACGAAAACACTTTCCTTCCTTTTGCCACTTCTCCTTTTCGTCCTTGGTGACACCTAGGTCATCCGAGGCCTTGGAGTTGTGCGCTGGCACGGAGAAAGTTTTCCGAGGTGCGGGGTTGCGCGATTTTCGCCGTTCCGACTTCTCCTCACGAGGTTTCACGACATCTTTGCCACGTAAGATTTCTTTCCGGGCCTTTACCTCGTGATCCTTACGTCCGACCTTCCTAACCCAGGCTAGCCATTCCGCGAAATCTTCTGGTTCCTCGATCGCGTTTGAGAGGCGTTGTTCCAGCGAGGAGTTTATTCCTGTTAGGATCATGGATTTCATTACGATGGGTCCGACCTTCGCGTCCCATTCCAGATTCTGCATCTCATTGATGTAGTCATCGATCATGCCAGTTTGACGGAGCTTATCCATCTTCTGTTTGGCTTGTTCTTGACTTGTTCGATTGCCGTACTGAATCCGTAATTCGTTTTTGAAATTTTCCCATGTTCCGATGCTGGGGTCTACCGATAGTCGCTCCACGAAGTTTCGCCAGAATTTTGCCGCACTCCCGGTAAGTTCGAGGGATGCCCACAGGATCTTAGTTTGGTCGTCCCACCGGACTTTCCTCTGAAGTTCAATTAAGACTTCCATTTGGTCGATCCAGTGTCGTACGTCTTCGTCGGCTTTTCCGGAGAAGGGGATTTTTGCCTGTTTTGGCGTATCTCCCAGGGTGGTGCGAGGGGGTACATGAGATCTACCTCTTGCTGCCTGTTACGGCGTCTTCGCTCCTCCCGTCTTCTCTGTCTTCGTTCGCGTGCTCGACGATCGTCCTCTGAATCGGAGGAGCTGGATGAATCTGAGGGGGATGGGCCTCGTGGTTTTGCGTGGTTTCCGCCGTTGCCGTTATTGCCATTGCCTCCCCTGCCTCCTTGTTCACTTTGCTGGCTCCTTGCCTCGGAGCGAGGGGGTACGGGGGGTTGGCTCCCTGATCCTTCCGGTCTCTCTCCGGAATTGCTAGGGGGGTTCTGAGGGGGTTGGGGGGGTACTACGCCTCCACCTCCTGAGCCTTCGGGGGCTGCTGCCGTTCTATTGGCTGCTAACCGCATCTGCTCAATAATCTCCTCCAGGTTCTTCTTCGTTCCTGCGAACTGGTCTTCTATCGCAGCTTGTCTGTCCCGTTCCATCCTCTCGAGGGCAGCCATAACCTCCGCGGGTATCTGCACAGGGCCATCTTTCGGGAGTTGCTGAACGAAGTTGGTCAGCGCATTTATGTGCTGATCCTGTCGCTCCTGCCTTTCCTGATGCGCCCTAGTAGCTTCCACGATCTGCCCAAGGACTTGGCCGAGGTTGCTGGTAGCGGCGGTGGATTCCGCTCGTAGCTGAGCCATGACCTGGTTGAGCTGACTGTCGCGTTCGGCTCTGTCCCCAGCGAACTTGGCGTGGAGGTCCTCGACGATCTTGTTGGTATACTCCTGCTGCTGCCGGGTGAGTTCCCTGAGTATGGGGATATCCCGCACGTGCATGCTGAGTTCCTCGATCCCGCGGCTGAGTTGCTGTACTACTGGAGCCCCTTGTCGCTGGACTTCTTGCCCGATGAGATCGCCAAAAGGGTTCTCCACCCGTCGTTCCTCTACGTCCATGTTGGTATCCTCGTCGTCGTCCATTACCCGAGGTACCGAGGGCCTCTGAGTAGAGGATCTCTCTCTGATTGGGGTGACGTATGGGGAGAACTCCCGGTGGTCTACCTGCCGCCTCCTCGCCTGCCCATAGGATTCTTCCTGCCTCGTCGATGCGAAGAGGGAGCCTATCGGCACATCTCTCTCTTTCCTGTGGCGCCTCTTCGCCTGGGTTTCTAATATACCTCGATCTCTCAAGGCGATTGAACTCTTCATATTGTAGTCTTCCTCCGACCGTTGCTGATGAGCCCTTGACATTGCTAAGTTGCTCGAGTTTGAGCTGTGGATGCCTTCTGCACCAGGGTTGGGCAATGAACCAGGGGGCTGGATGAGCAAGTCCGAAAGACCGTTGGGAGAGAGTGATCTTGATTGGGAAGAGTTCTGGGTAGTTGAGGATTTCGGGATCGTATTCCTCGAAGGTAGCGGTGGTTCCTGCTTCTGCGAAGAAACCTGAGTAGTGAAGGTATCCGCAGTATAGATGTTCGGCGCTTCCTCTTCGAACGATGAAGGATGTAGCGCAAAGGTAGTCGTTGATGGCTGCTGTTGCCACTCGGGGGTGCATATAGTACCTTGGTCTTTTCTAATAGACTAAGCGCTTATTCCTCTACTGAGAGCACGGTGACTATCCGCCACTAAGCAAAATACTCAGAGTATTGGTTTAAGCGAGTAGTTGTCTTATCGAGACTTTGGTAGTGTATGCGATAGGTAAAGAGTAAAAGTTAGGGATAAGGAACAATATAGTGTTTCATTCCTATAAGCCATACATTTGAAAAAATTACCGCCGATTACAACAGTAACTATGTAAAGCGTACTTAAGAAATAAAATCTGGCTTTGCTCTTCAAGTATTTCAAGGATCTCTAGTGTTTCCAATAGCGTAGAGTAGGTAGTAAATACCTCGCTAAGAAACCCGCCAGGTCCAACTTGCAACTCATCAAACAGATATTACTCAGAAATCGGCGGTCTCTACAGGTCTTAGCGAGTCGCTGTTCTGTAGTCCCCTATTCCTTTCGGATTCTTGACTTGATGGTTGATGATACCCTCAAGTCTTCGCAGAATCAAGCCCTATTTATACATGTTGGAACCTATGCCAAGGCCCGCTTTCTAATACTAACTGATACAACGATAATAGAATAAGATAACGTTCCCGAAGATAACCCAGATAGAAAAGCGCCCCCGCATAGTCCCGTCCTCCATTCTAATTCCGACACGTAACCATGAACCTTGCAATTGCCAGTCATCGGGCTGTACCATACTATTATCCTAGACCTACTTCCCTAAGTAGAACAGCCTACAGCCGTAAGCCCCGCTTTCTATTCTATCCCGGGTGAGACACCCAATAGTAAGCGTGCCGTCATAATAGTATAGTACTAGTGTGGTAACACCGTGTGCCCCAACACTACCCGATACCTTTCTATACTTGTCCTTTCGTTACCCGACCGTCCTCGCATCACAACCCGTCACTCGTATTCCTCGTTGTCCTAAGCCTCTAGAACAGTGTTCCGTAGTTCCTGTAACAGACTGAATACCAATGGGCCACATGCGTGATAACCCTTACTGTCTTGTACTAATATTGAACATCAGCATCGTCCCACAATCAACAGATAAATCTGAAAGACAATTCACGGATTGTGAGAAATAGAGCTGTAGTAACGGAAGCCAACAATAACGCTGATCAAATAAGTAATTCCGAGGAATTACTCATAGCCATGTTATCTGTCTCGTTGACAAATACAAACCAAACAGAAAACCCCGAATCAGTACTAAGTAATGATCCAATCAGTTACACTGAAGCTATGAGTAGACCAGACTCGGAATTGTGGAAGCAGGCAACAAGAAATGAATGGGAATCGCTTCTGTTGAATAATACATTTGAACTTTCAGGCTATCAGCCCCAGCACGCAAAGGAAGGCGAATCTCAAAACAATCAATCAGGTATACCATTCGGAATCCATGCAATAGGGAGCAAATGGGTATACAAAAGGAAGCTGAATCCAGATGGTACGACACGATACAAAGTGAGATTGGTAGTCAAAGGCTATGAGCAGGTTGAAGGAATCGATTTCAAAGAGACTTATGCACCCGTTTCGAAACTTACAACAGTACGCATGCTCTTAAACCTAGCGGCAAAATATGACTGGCGAGTGGACCACCTTGACGTCGTCACCGCCTTCCTTAATCCGAAGATAGACAGAGATAATGTCTATATGTCATTGCCACCTGGTATCGACTGGCTGGACCCTGATTTGTATCAGAGCTCAATACATTGTGTTCGACTACTGAAAGCCCTATACGGTCTTAAACAAGCACCCAGACTCTGGTACGAAGATATTAACCAATTTCTACTATCAATCGGTTTTGAGCAATCCACGACCGATCCAAATCTATATATTCAACATAGCGTACTACTACTACTCTATGTGGATGATATACTACTCGTATCTACTGGCAACAATGACAGCAGCAGTGATATCAAAGAGAAAATCCAAAACCGATATCAAACAATGGACCTAGGACCAGTGAAACGATTTCTTGGCCTGGAAATTGAGAGGGACGTTAAACAAAGGTCAATCACACTATCACAGAGCGAATACATCAAAAGTATTCTCAACCGCTATCAAATGCAGTCTTCCCATTCTGTTTCAAGCCCTATGGATCCAAATATCGATCTCAACAATCTAAATTGCCACGACAAATTTGTTGCGGACAGAAATCTCTATCTTTCAATTGTCGGATCCCTCATGTATGCAGCTCTGGGAACCCGGCCGGATATATCGTTTGCTGTTACTGTTCTAAGCCGTTATAATATTCAACCACTGCAAATGCACTTGACAGCGGCAAAAAGAGTACTCCGATACCTCAAAAGTACAGCACACTACAAAATTCACTTCATTGGTCAGCAGGCATCTTCAGAAATCGAAAACAGTTTGGGGATTTGTGGCTATACGGACTCTGACTGGGCAGGCAACACCTTGGACAGAAAGTCAGTAGGTGGCTGTATCTTTACTGGCAACGGTATTACTGGCGGGCCAATTCTATGGCAGGCAAAATCTCAAACTGTGGTGGCTCTATCCACACTGGAAGCCGAGTATATTGCATGTTCGGACGCCACCAGAGAAGGACTCTGGCTTCGACGTCTTCATCAAGACATAATCAGTTCAATAAACTCCCAAGTGACTCCGAATAATGAACCAATACCGATAATGTGTGACAATCAGGGAGCACTCAAATTGATTGAAACCGGCGTAGTGAAGCAAAAGACTAAGCACATTGATGTCAAGTTCCATCACTCCCATCATGAGCAGAAAGCCGGCAATATCATATTCAGATACATACCTTCAAATGAGAATACAGCAGATCTCTTGACAAAGGCTCTTCCAGCTCCTCGTCATCAACAGCTAACAAGAATGATCAACATCTTCTAAATGAAGGTCTCTCACTCGGAAGAAGTATAGGAAGAGGGGAAGTGTTGGAGGGAGAATAGGAAGAGGGAGCATAGGAAGAGGGGAAGTGTTGAATTCGAGCGTCCTATGCACCTTATTAGTGTGAGGTACAGATGGCAGTGAGGAGGAACTTGAAGGCCGGGTTAGGACGAGTGAGCAAGGGTGATGCATACAAGGATGGTAGCAGTCACAGGCAACGAACTTTCTTTCTTCTCTTCTCTCTACTACCTCTGTATCAAAAAGAACGAATAAATCAATAAAATCTATCATCTTTCTCAACAGGTATAACTGGTTTTGCAGATTTCTAAACCGTTCAAACTATTTATTGAGGGCGATAAGAACTGCACCAACTGTTAAGTTCAACGGTTCAGTCAAACCGGTTTGAACCATATAACGGTAAACCACTGGAAACCTTGGTCTACATTCTCATGTCAGAGCTTGAAGTTTCCTAAACTAAGCTTTCTTCAAAGGTGTATGTACGTTAGTTACGTTGGAATGCATGTTCAATGTCCCAGTGACAGAGGTGGCGCATGATTCGTTCGGGGGACACGTTTAGTCACCATTTCGTTTACTATAATCACAATCGCGCCAGGCAATAGCTAGTGCGGGGTTAATGAACCGCCGTCCTGTTAAAATTCCCTCTGGATAGAAATTTAAATCCCGAGGTTGTATACAGCTATCGTGTTCGTTTTACTGTGCGAAACTATTTGAAATTGCGCGGGTCTCCAAAAATGATATTGCACCCCCCCAAAAGAAAGGTGCATGCTTGGGATTATTTGTTACGCTAGCTCTCGCGCACTGTATAAATAGCAAGTACCTTTCCCATTTTCTCCTGCTTCCCACTAAACCAGAAAAACCCATAATCCCTTTATTTTCACATCCATTCACAACACCAAATGGACGAACAAAGATCATCTTCTCCAATTATCCACCCTGGGAATACAACCCCCCCACCGAGGTCTCTCATTCTTACCGCTCACCTCAGACTCTTATACGAGAGTAGAGCCAATTACGAGTCCACCTACGGATGCATCTCTCGTGATGTCCAATCCGACATCAGGCACAATCGCCTCTACCCATGTGCCGCCTTGTGTGACAACATTGGGGAGCTCCTCGAGAAGAAATGGCGTATTAGAGCCCTGTTGGATCAAATTAACGACGACATTGAGGTCCTTGAAGGATATCTGCGCAGTGCCATCACCACCGAAGCTGCTGCTAGGGCTACGGGGGATGCCACCGGCACTGCTAATTAAACAGAGTTTGGAATAGGGAGGGTGGTTGGTTATATCTCAACCGGCTGTCGTATGTTTTAGTTCCTCATTCCGATTCGCTATATCAACGGCTAAACAAACTTTAGTACCTGTTCCTCACGACACATTCCTACCTTCAATACGCCCGAATTGTCGCCTCCGCCACCCTTTAAGTGCTCAGTTCGAGTTATTTCATTCCATACTCTTTTCCTCTTTACAGCCTTGACATCCTGATGTCTTTGTAAGACCTCTTCTTCTCCATCTTCCGCACTCATTCATCTCCGATAGAGGTCTAACAATATTACGCGCTATACAGGATTTACGGTGGATCTCAATTTTACGGTATATAAGTTCAACGATAGGGATTCTGTTTAAATTTAGAAGAGGTCGATCTTGCGGTTTCCCTAGTAACTCAACCTTGTAAACAAAAAAAACTCGAGTCTAAATTTTCATGTTCTCTTTCTGTCCATAGTTTCTTTCCACGTGTAGCAAACAACCGTTACAAGAGAAAAACTTAAAAATACAGCAAGGAATAAAACGTAACACCAAGCGTGGGGCTTGTGCGTGCATGTCTATCCGCATAGATCTCCCTAATACCACTTCTTATAACCGTTGCCTAAACTCTAGGCTATTTCTATGATATATTCTGCTTTCACACTCAAAAATCACATTTTATAGATAAATAACCTCCGTAGTCAGGATTTTAACTTTCCCATATACCGTTCCCGGGATTGAAGACTGGACTGGCTCCGTCGTTGCGTGAGGGGGGCTAGGGTCATTACTGAATGTCTAAGTCCAGAATATCCTACCACTATCATCGGGATATAGATATATATGCCTAGTCCTCCGATACAAGCGGAAATGATATTTGATGCCTTCCTTACACCGGGTCGATCGATCCTTTCTAACGGATGGCGTATATATTTCCTGTGGCCTATTTTTAGTGCAAGATCATCAGCTCTATCCCTTGGACGGATGAAAGTGGTCAAATTCGCGACCTACCTCTTTCAGCTATCACTAACCTTCTGTGGTAACTATTGCTAATTGTTTATTGGCTCTGTTGTTGTTATAAACCGTAAAAAGCAAGGCAATTCCCTTATTAAGTGGTGCACGGTCCAGGCCGCGAATTTGACCACTTGCATCCGTCCAAGGGATACTCTTACATAGAAGCTGATTGAAAAGGTAAAATCATAGTGAAGAAATAGTCTTTGCGATCGAAGTTGCATGCATACAGTACACCAATTCATGGAAACGTATATCGGAAAGTGAGCAAACGGACCTGAGGTGTAGAGTAGATGAGTACGATCTGAATAATCCACTCGGTGCATGCAATTCGTTGGTTATATAGACATGTATGTGTGCAAATAATATCAATACAGTTTGGGAATACGTAGATTATATTTAAAGCCACTGGAGGTCAATCAAATTTAGGCGATTGAGTTGATCTGCGAAGATCTACCCACTCGAGCTTTATCTAAGCCTATGTAAGTAGTATACAGCCCAACGATATCTTGATCCTGATCAAATGATACATCTGGGAAGAAAAGGTTATTATGTGTACGTTTAGTTTGGGCTTTGGAGGCCAGTAGTAAATCCATAAATTATAATTTGGTAGCTAGCTGTGAGATAAAACAACATTTCTGTTCTGCAGGGTAAACTCCAAGCAAGTGGGTGGCCGCGGGTCCGAAACTGGCAGTTTTTTTTTTGGGGGGGGGTTTAATTGTTGACCTAAACTGATATGCCTATTTAAAAACTACAGAAATTGATATAATCCAGATATACGTCGTATGTATATGCGGATCATGTATCGCAATATAATGGGATATTAATTTAGGATAAGGCTATCAGTACCTTCCGGCTTAAATTATCGATCCTTTTCCTTTTCTAATACAAGTCGTTCTGAGATTAAAAACAATTGCCAATGCAAAAGGTAAAAGAAAAGTGCCGCCGGGCATCTAGTACTTTGTTCTTTCACAAGGTCTGGGAAGGGAGCACTATGAGATCATACTCGTAGCAGTTTGAAACATAGCTATTGGCGCCACATAGTACAAGAGAAAATGATTTGATTTGAAACGAAAATGCTTATATTTAATCTTTGAAGTAAAAGACAAAGCATGACGAGAGCCGCATCTCTCTACAGAGCGAAGATATTTCGATACTGAATCGAAAAAATGAAACAAATAACACTGCAATAACTCATGCAATGCACGATATACCTAGTATAACCACCCACCTAAAGTTTGCCCCATAATCACTTAAGTCGCCCTCCTCTGGCGCTTCTCTCCTTCCTATCCCCTCATTCTGATCGCCTCCTTAACCTTCTTCAAATGATCGACAACCATAGCAGCAGCCACAACCACATTTCTAGTGCTCCCCATCGGGATCTGGTCAGCCCTCTCGCCGTTCACATCAAGAACCTCCATATCAGCACCAGCCTTTAACAACTCAGGCACCATCGCAGTCTCTCCGGACCTCACAGCATGCCAAAGCGCAGTGCAACCCCTCATATCGATCAGATTAATCTTTGCACCGGATTGAATAATCGTTCGAACACAGCCGATATGAGCATCTTTGAAGTCCGCGATCCCACGATCACCTAATCCACCAACCCTCTCTGGCCCGAAGCGAGCGAGAAGGTGTAACGGTGTAAGACCACTTTCGTTTTCCTCGTTGACATCGATGCCCCCGGCACAGAGGAGTTGGACAGTCTCATACATGTCGACAGCAGTGAACTTGAAAGTGCTTTGAGGTCCCACGCTGACAGCAAAGTGGAGGAGTCTGTGCCTATTACGGTTGACGACCGAGCACCCCTCGATGACCAAACGACGAACCTCGGAGAGGTTTGAGGTCACTACAGTGAGAAGCCCTTGGTTACAGATATCGACACGGTACTCGGGTTCGATTAAGCGGTATATTGGATCAGCAATGGAAAGGATGTTGTCCTGGACGGCGCAGAGGAAGCAATAGAGGAGCTGGTCCTGGGTCAAGTATGGGGTCAGGAGGTGTAACATCTGGGGTCTCCTCTCCGAGCACATCATGTCGACGACTTCCTCAAGGCATACGTGCCCGAAAGTGAGGAAACCGGAAACAAGACCGAAAACAACCGGGTTTTGAGCTAAGACGACGGCCTGGAGTGCGTACTCCTGCGTCACGCTATGAGAATGCTGAAGTCCGAGATCAATGGCAGCTGGTCCATGAATCCTCATCGTACGTAAAATACACTCGGTGTCGACACTTTTGATGGCCGCGTAACCAGCAATAGCAGGGTCGACTTGCTCAAAAAGCAAGTCATAAAAGAATTGGTTGGTGAGAGAAAGACTCGCAATATCCTCAGGGCCCTGACACGCCTTGGCAAACATTAAGAGTAACTCATTGGGCAAGTCACTAATAATGTCGGTGTTACTCATCATGACTGGAAGAGATTAGTTACTTTCTTTAAGGAAATATCGTCAGGTCTACGAACAAATGAGAAGGCTTTTGTATGAAGAGTTTAGAAGAAACTGGTCAGATCCTGTTTATGGGAACCACTGGTCCACAGAGGGAGTATTAGCCAAACCCTCTTTAACAGAGTGAATCTCTCCCGTCACACGCCAACAATAGGAGATAATAGCGACGGTCCTCTTAAATGATCTTTAAAGGAGTAAAAAATGCTCACACGTTCGATTTACACAAGGAACCACAAGGGCTCTACTGCAACAAAAAAAAATTGCCGAAACCCTCAAATCCTATATCATATCACATTAATATCATATCACCAATAAGGAAAGGATATGTCGAGGATGAAGACAGTTAAAGACATACAGTTGAGGAAAAGGAAGAAGAAAATACTTGTTACTATGCGGTTTGGTGTAAAAGCGTGTGTTGTAAGATGGAAGGATGATGTGTGGTGGCAACGGTACTTCTCAAGGTAGGCATTACAACCAACGACACATGCCCTATTTAGCTCAGCGCAAAACTTATTTTCCTTACCACATTTTAAGGTCACATGGGGCAGAACTTGCCCAATCACGTCGGAACCGTTGTGACAATAATGTGCAGAAACGAAGGTGCCAGGATCTTACCTGAAGACTCAGCTTCTCAGCGCCGAATCCTCAATTGGCCATAACCAGAGAAAGATATCATCAATGAAGGCGAAACCACGCCTGATGTCACTCCCCCCCCCCCCCCCACTCCTAGATGCTGAGCTCATCCCGACACACCGGGGTACAGCATCTCCGACACACTCCACTCAACTCAATTTAGTTCAAGCAAACCCCAACCAGCACCTCTACATTTGTGAAATACTCCATAGTCGCTTGGTTGATGCAACAGAGATTAAATGCAGTCTTCTAGGTTGCTTTCATTAGTATTTGGCTATATACTGGCTGTTGATCACCATACGGTCCAGCATCACCGCATTCTGCTGGAAATCATATGATGACAGGCACAGAGAGGACCTCGAGACCTAACTACGCAAGGATGTTACCATCCTGGATATTTATTACTTTCTTACTGACATTGAAACCCCAAAACCTCTTAGTAACCCCCGCGTCTCGCTCCTATAGTACCGACTTCCTTGGTTATCAAAATCATGGGCACACTTTTTCCACTCCCACATATTCAAATACCGCGGTAAAGGAATTAATAATATCTTTGAGAAAGGACTAGAACACAGGAAAGAATACTGCTGAGGGCCGACCCTCTCTGCATGCACCCGAGCGCAGATAAATCCCGAATCCTAAACAACTCAATTGGAAGATCACACTGTGCTTGATCACCGGCATTTAATGTGATTTAATTACTTCTCTCTGGTTTTCTGTACCGATCGTAACCCATCGTTTATAAGCGCTTTTAATGGGAAAGATGCCTGGGTTTGATATCTTTGGTAGTTTTAATTGAAGGCAGCCACTCACAGAAGCATGCACCGCATTGCTATCAGGGTGAGGAGCTGTGGCGCATTGCTGTGGCAAAGTGTATGAATCTTGCCCTGCAGGGAAAGCTCAGCAGGGAGATGCATCGACAGAGATAAGGCTGAGGATAACCTGCCGCTTAAGGAGGAAATTTAATGATTGTGGGAATTTTTTTACTGCAGATACGTGAATTGATTTTTATGAAATAAGGCTACGAAACGGAAGTCAGGTCTAGCTATAATTGTGTATAATTTCTGCTAATGATCTATAATAGCGTCTCGGCGCAAAAATTAAATCGATGGTCGTTTAGCAGCCCGTTATCGCTCTAGTTCGGGGTTTTGCGGTATCTCCCGGAATTCCCAGCATTAAGGAAAGATTATGAGCTTTTATAAGATGTTAGATATGATGATGAAATTATTCTAGAAATAATTCTAGAAATGATTTCTCATGGCCATTGGTTATCATATTACAACAATTCAACTTCAAAACGCCGAAGTGCATGAGGTGGTTTCTTCGTACTCCCTTCCCCAGTAAGGAGATCATCAAAAAAGAAAAGGTGAAAAGAGAAAAAAAATTCCACAATGATTTTTGAAGCTCTTATGATATCTATGCATCTTCCATGACTACTGGGAATTATTTTACGTTGCATTTCGGTGTGATTTCACGCTTGTCCCGTTACTAACAAACTAGGCTGGGGAGATTTCCACATTGCGATGGCCAGCATCGAACTATATCACATCCATTCTCTTAGCGAACAACGCGCATTATTGTTGATGAAATTCATTTTGGTAGAACATCGGTCAATCTTGCGCACCCTGCACGGCCTGCGGTTGACATGTCGGTTCTTGATTCTTAGTGGGAGCCGCTAACCGGAACGGTAGTAGAATGGATCCGAGTGAGAGCCTATGACGGGTTGCTATGGCAAAGCCAGCCCATGTGTCATGCAAGGGGAGCGGCCCTGCATCGCCAGGGATGCAGTGAAGGTTAATCCAACGTCTAGGAGACAAATCTAATAATTGTGGGAATATCCTTGATTCTGGATACGTGTGTGAGTAATGATTTGCTTAGCGAATGGGGTTAATCAAAGTAGCTTAGATCTAGCTATAAGTTTCCAAGTAACTATTCTAGATGTTTTTGTTTATATAATTATTGAGCCTCAGTGCGGTGGATGTGCAACCTGATCCATCAGGAGAGAATGGAGCGCAGGCTACCGAAAATAAACATCGTTTTTTAACTCTGGGATTAATATGTGTGTAGTCATCTTGGTCTCTGTTTCTCTCATTCTGTTACATTTGGTCTCACCTGTATCAAGTATAATGGAGCGAGGACATATTAAAGAACCCTTTCCGGTTCGAGATCCTAAGTAGAATCTTAAAATCACAGTGTTGGAGGTAAACCATTCCGGCGACGCAGGAAAGGTGGCAGTCACAATTCCAAGAGTGAAGCGTTTAAAGAAAGTAGAGATTTTTTATTTATTCTGGTCCTAGTTCTTTTCGTAGTGCGATACGATTACGAGACAAAGGATGATATGTCCTCTCTTCTAAACGTACAGTAGTTTCGACAATATTGAATATTTGAATTTCTTCACCCTTTTGCCCCGTTAAACTCCAACACGAAATCACCATGCCCTCGCGAGACCTTATAATTTAGACAGGTCCACGCCTCAAGCCTTGCTATCAGGCAGGCACTGAACCCTCCTCAAGCATCCTTCTTTCCTCAACGTACGTATCGGACTGCTGCCTCATCTCGATGACCAACTGTGCCCACCACCTCACATCCCTATTACTACCCTTCGGAATTTGATCGTCCCTCTTCCCGTCGCGGTGGATATTATTAAAGTTTGATCCGGCATACAGCAGCATCTCCACAATGTGTGCCTCCCCCGCCCTCACCGCATACCAAAATGCCGTCCTCCCATTTACTCCAGCCTTATCGACCGTTGCCCCTGCACTCAACAACGCCGTCACACACCCCATATGAGTCACCTCCCATTTTGCGCTTTCCTGCGCCGGCATGCTGCGCGGCCCATTCAGTGCCAGCAGATGCAGCGGCGTGTACGAATCTCGATCGGCCTCATCCACCATAGCGCCGATCTGGCACAAGAGCTCCACCGTCTCAAGCACGTCGCGCGGCTCGTATGTACGCGGGTGGGTCTCTGTCGAGATGACAAAGTGCAGAAATCTGTTGGGGCGGCAGCAGAGTGGGGCACAGCGCTCACCGAGGAAACGCCGGGCCTGGCGCATGTTCAGGTGGACGGCTTTGTGGAAGAGTTTATGGCAGGACATGATTCCGTTGCTGCGCGGCATCGGGGTGTGGAAGATGTGGGCGAATTGAAAGTTGGCCTTGTGGACCGCGCGGGAGAAGCAAATGTACAGCGGGTACGGGCTGAGATAGCACGTGAGCAAGTGGGCCATGGAGGGCAAGTTATTTTCGAGTATTCTCTATGCTCTTATGGTGGCGAGTGATGTATCGATCGATTAGGCCGAATATTTCCAAGGAATTGGAACGAAGAACCGGCTCCAGGGCGTAGTTCCCTGTGACGGTGTGCTGGTGTCTGAGGCCACAGAGGAGGCTATTTGGTCCTCTTGCGTTCAAGGTGAGCCTAATTGTTTGCACACTGAAAGACATCACGGCGACATAGCCCGCGACAGCCTCGGGGACGCTGTCGGAGAGGAGGAAGCGGAGGGATCGGTCCGTCATGGCGAGAGAGGCCACATTTTCGGGGCCTTCACAGGCGTCGGCGATGGCCCAGAGGACCTCGACAGGTATGCTTTGGAACATGTTTTTTGCCATGATTTCTGGGAAGGTGTCAGTGAGTGTGATCAGAGTTGGGAGGAAGCTGTTCTTTACCTATTGTAAAAGGAATCAGGAAGGCAGCGGAAAACGGGTGTGAAGGTTACGAATTTATGCGGGAAGTTTATGTGTGTTGTAATGTATTGGGACTGTCGCTTACCTGGATTCTCCCTCCTGTCTTGAATACTGGAACATGTGCCGAGATGCGGGCCTGGGCGGGATAGAGGTAGGATTAGGGGCAGGATGGCCATATAAATTAGGAATTGCACTTGTGTGCGAAAAGATTCCGCCAGCTGCAAAGCGGTCTGGTAGGACCGCGCATCATCGAATATATGTATAGTAGGATATATAAGAAGTTTCTTTATAAATATCCTAGATATTCTCACGATGGGAGAGCTATCAGTCCCCTATTTATATTAACTTACAAATGTTCGATCAGGACCACATGTGCCCGCACGCCGCACGAACGACGGTTTACATCAAGAGGTAGTAGGGACTTATGCACGGAGGTACACGTGTAATTTCCGGGGGTGTTTTCTTTGATCTTAACGTAGCTAGAAGTTTGTCTAATTGTAACAGATCCAATAAGAGATTTACTTGACCGCACGAATAATTTTCCCGAGTGATATTTCAAGATCATCACCCGTCAAGAATTCCAGACACCATGCCTAGAGCATCGCAGTAGAAAGAGCCCAATAGTAGAAACCAACTTTCGATAGTAGCAGCTGTAGGGGCTCTCATTGGGCAGTATAGAAAAGGAGGGAAGAAAACCAAAGACACAGTTATACTAGTAGCTGGCTGGCATTTGTGATAGGCGCGTTGAACGGGCTGCAACGTGTCAGTTTGACGACGTGATAAAGAAAATGTAGTCCAGTTTTCAGGATTACATGGCTCACGAACAACTAAAATAAGTGTACCAGAGCGCGCTCATAAAGCTGGGCTGACCCCAAGCCTTAATTAAACTTGGGTCATATGCATAGATCTACCCATAAGAGACTAGAATCCAATCAGATACATATATACCGAGCTGCGCAAGTTTTATTATGCGTTATCTGCGTGTGTCTATTTTTTTAACCCAAAATCGATGGGGTTAGTAAGTAGGCAGGGGCACATTGAAACCTCGGTTATCTTAGACACTTTACTTATTGAGACGGACATATGGCTGCACAAAGGATTTCATAAATCTCAAAGCAGAATACCCGCACTCTGCCATAGTCACGTAGTAAGAGGTTGTCAAAGCGACCCATTTCCAGTTTCGAATTGTATAGTTCTAGGCCGTAAATCATCGGAAGGCGCGGCGTAGCAATCGGTTTCGACACCTCCCAACCCCCTCGCGTTATGACGTAAGCCAAAGGAGCGGGACGGGAACGTTATTTCCAGGATATTACGGGAAAATGAAAAACTAGGTGGCCTCCTCTGCTATCTACTAGAAACTGTTCAACTCTTAATTGATCTATAACAACTGTTGATTTCATTTACTACTAGAACTCATGGCTAGTTATCGTAATACAGAACTTATAAATCAACTGGTAATAGAGTACAATCATAAAGCTCAACAGGAATTGATCTGGAATATCTTGAAAAGGGAATCTATAACTAAACTTGCAATCTCCTTTGATATACCCAATACTTCAAAGCACCTCGACCCATTTCGGACCAAACCGTTCCACCTGTTCCACCTCGTATTTATACACATCGAGGTCGATGGTGGCAGGAGCCGTCCTGTCACCATTCATGTTACTCGCCCTCAATCCGTCGTCGTTGGTAATGACCGCGTTGACCCTGTTTTGAAGGAGCATCTGAATCATCACTGTCTCCCCTCTGGAGACAGCAAGGTGCAAAGGGGTTGCTCCGGTGTCGTCTTGGGCGTCGATGTCTGCATTCCCGATGAGCAGCATGGTTAAAACGCGGCGATAAACCGAATCCGGGCGTTGATCAGTAATATCATCCTCGAATTCGAGACGTGGAGTGACTGCTCTGGAACCGTTCATTGCAAGCTCATGCAAAATGGTGCGTCCTTGATAGTCGACTCGGTTGACGTCTGCGCCGGCGGTGATAAGCATTCGGACCATTGGTAGGATAGAACCCCTATGCTCATTTTGCCAGAGACCATAAGTTCCAAGCCAATGGAGCGCCGTACGTTCGTCCATCTCGTCCTCCTCATTGGTAAATACCATGTTAATATCGGCGCCCCCGGCTGTCAACATCTCTACGATGGCGACATTGCCTGAAGTGATGGCCAACTCGAAGGCGGCGGAGCAAGCATCCGCGCGGCGGTCGACCGGGATCTGCGCAAGGACAGCGGCAGAGATTGTCCCAGTGGAGAATAAGCAGGTATGAGCGAAAGCCTCCTCCGCCATGTCGTGCAGAAGCGGTAGAAGTATGTTGATCAGCTGCTGATTCTTGTACGCAACCGCCCCTTTGAAGGCCGCCAAAATGCTGGAGTCGCCAGGTGTAAGGAAAGGCTGCAATACCATGAAGAGGTCCGTGCGGTTACTGTCCGCAAGGATATCGAGAGCGCATAGGTCGTCTGGAGCGTAGAGATATCTTGGGTTGCTGCGGTCATTGGTGACGTTGCGGGTGAGTCCATTAACCATTGAGTTCCCTCCATGGATGCGGATTGTCCTTAGAATAAGGGTTCTTTCAAGGCTGCACACTGCCACGTAGGCGGTGACCTCAGGGGATGTAAAGCCGGCGGAGAGGATTATCTCCAGGTCTTTATTGCAAAGAGAAAGGGCGGCATTTTCTTCTGGCTCATCAGCAGAGGCTGCGATCAACCTGATGATCTCAACCGGCACAGTATAAAAGAGGTTTCTCGCAGAGCGTGCAGCTAGGGTGATGGTGATTAGTGTCGATTGTCTCAAACTACTTCTAACATTGGGGAAAGGAGCTAAATGAGGGCAGGGAATATACCTTGGACCATGGAGGATCCCATTGTGGACGACATATCATCTGCGGTAGTCATATTTGAATGTAGGTAACTTTTAAATCATATTATTAGCAGGTGCATGCAAAGGGAGCTCGATTATTTCATACAAAGTTACAAGTATAAAGATAAATTGGTGGTTAAGAGTTGTCTGTGATTTTCGGTCAGGTATAGAGGATTACAAGGAAGCGAGGCAGGTAATGGCAGAACTAAAGGTAGGTACAAAACTCTGGAGCCGGTGCTAAATCTTTTTTGACTGCCACATCTCAAAGGATCATGTGACCTTCCCTCTGCACACGAAAGCCTTCCATTTGGCACCCATCTTATTTCAGGGCAGGATGTTAGGTTAAGCTGATCTCCCTCGGCCTCTGCGTATATATTGGAACGCTGGATGCAGAAAAGGCTTTTATTATTCCATACTTTACATGTCGGGTCTTGACAGTGGTGGAACTGGGAATATGTGTATGTATAGACTTCCATTAGGACACCGCATTATTCAAAGCTCTTGCCTAAAGGGTATGGCTGTCTGGTTGATTCTTGCTTCAATCCGAGAGCAGCATACAGGTCCGAACCCTGTTCCCCCCTCTCCGGTATACCCATCTTGCTGGTCGGGCTGGGCTTTGGGAGTTTTCCCGAGTCATTTGCTCAAATTGCATGAGCGCAGCGGTAATCCCTTGAACGCCGCCATAACTGTGAGGTTGCATTCGGATCTTGTCAAGGTGGGTACCAATAGATAGTATGCTAGCGCACTTTTATTTATCATGGCAGATGATCTTATTTTATTTTACACTTTGGCTCTCTATTTATAGTAGGGAAACCTTTCCTTCCAAAGACTACATGGAGAATTCCAGAAAATAAAATTATGCAGCCGTTGTGTGAAATATCCGGAAGCTCAGAAGAGGTTAGTACTGCATGGAAGGAGATTTGCAAATGAAAGGAAAAAAGTGAAGAAAAAGAATAAAGAAATATAAAATGAATTAAGAATTTCCGGAGAGAAAGACGAATTTCCGAAAGAAAACGAACAAACGAGAAACAAAACTTATTAGTGAGCTTTCTGTGTTCCCCAACCGTCTTCCAGCAAGTATGAGAGGTTGTTATTATTATTATGCTCTTGCCTTCAGGAAGAATATACCTGAGTGATATCTCATGACTCAAATACGTATGAAACCCGAGTTCAAGGAGCAGACCACCATAAGATATCAAACTCCAGAAGCGAAAGGTCAAGAGAGATAGTAGCAGGTGTAGAAAACTTTTATTGAGTGGTATATATCATGGACGGAGGTGGGAATTAATGGAATCACGCCAACTGGCGCTAAGGATAGGCGCATGGATCATAACATGTCAGTGTTCCCAGGTTATAAAAGAGTGTAGACCACGTTGCCGGATTACGTTGTCATATAATAACTAACATAGGTGTACTAGGAGTAGTAAACCTAGCTAGACTGACCCAAATGCATGTATAAATCCGGAGCTAATAGCGCTAATATTATCGTCTGTCACGTGCGTAGGGGCCAAACCTCAATCGATCTAGCTAGCAAGCTGCGTAGCGTAGGTTTACATATTCACTACCTCCATGTATGCGGGGTTGTTGAGCAAGGGCTTGAAAATTTATCAGATGGGGGTTAATTTTTATTCTCGGTTCGCGTAGCGTAAGCGGTGGTGTTCAAGCTCACTTGGCGTATAGGCATATAGAGGCCATGATCGGCCGCGATACGACATCTTGAGGATCTCAACGAGGTCCCATTCTCAGCCAATGATGTGATGAACTTCTTGTAGCTGTGTAATTATTTTGTCATGCCGTCTATATATATATATAGTGTAAAAAAGGTAAGGAAATAAGAGGGGGTTGTCGGGGTCTCTGATGCGGTCAAGATCCATGAGCATTGATCCCGAATTGAAGAATCAAACAATTCAAGGTTAATAGTCTTGAACGGATCCCAAAAATAGGTTGAGTCTACAATGATGAACATAGGGAAGTGTACTATAACGAAGTCGGAAAGACAATGGGACTCGGTAGATGGGCGTACAATGTTTCTAGAAGGACGCAAAGCTAGGGGGTATAGGAAACATGATTAAATAAATATTTTATCACAAAGCTAACTCAACTGCTAACTAGAGAGCGGATATCAATGGAGGGCTTCCTCGTTTATATAGCAACTCTTTATTTGGTTTTATTGTTAAAGTTGAGTAGTTAGGTATATACAGAAATTTGTTTACTCAACGATTTATAAGTTACAACATATGATGACTATATGATTCGTAAAACAACTCCTTCCAGATATTCTAGCCTAGAGGTACTACCTTGTTCACTTATTTCCTTATTGACCCATTTCAAAGGACAGCGATCCATCTCAGATCAGTCCTTTCCAACTGAGCCGCCTCATACTGCCGGACCTCTAAGTTAATCGTATCAACCACCACCCCCTCCCCGTTTACCACCATACTAGCACGAATTCCGTCGTTGTTCGTGATCATCGCATTCACTCCATAGCGCAGGAGAATCTCGATCATAACCGACTCCCTCCTGGAGACAGCAAGTTGCAAAGGTGTCATGCCGTCATTGTCCTGGACATTAGGATCCGCACCGGCGTCAATGATAAACCTGAGGAAAAGTGCATAAACCCAAGCGGGGCACTTGTTAGTAATGACGTCTTCATATTCGAGCGTTGGCGTGACCGCCCTAGAGCCATTCAAGGCGAATTCGCGAAGAGTAGTGCGACCCTTGTAGTCAATAGCGTCCAAGTTGGCCCCGGCGGTGGCGAGCAACCTGACCATGGCATTAAAGCAACCTCTTGATTCGTTTTGCCAAAGCCCATTCGTTGCAACCCAATGCATCGCGGTGCGCTCGTCGGAGTCATTCTCTTCTTCAGCGAACACAACGTTGACATTTGCACCACCGTATATTAACACTTATAGAACGCCGACCTTTCCGGAGGTGACTGCATTCTCGACTTCGGATGTGCAGGCGTCGGCGCGGAGATGGTCCGGGATGTAGGGAAGCAGTGCAGCGGAGATTTCCGGATTCGTATTCGCATATAGACAGGTGTACGGCAAGGCGTCGACTGCCATTCCATTGAGGATGGGTAGTAACATCTCCGTTACATTTTGGTTCCTGAAGGCAACTGTTCCTTTATAAGCAGCCAGAATACTAGCGTAGCCAGGTATTAAAAACTGTTCATTGCAAGGAGCTGGAACAGATCCGTACGATTCGCGTCGGCGACGATGTCGAGTGCGTATTGACAGTCGTAGGCCTCATGGGTGAGTCCACGAATCATCGATCCACGTCCGTTCTTCCAGATGACTCTCAGTATGAGATTCCTTTCGAAGCTGCAGACCGCAACATAGACAGTTGCCTCTGGCTTCGTAAACTTTGTTGAAAGAATTGATTCCAGATCTTGGCTACACAAACCTAGGGCCGCATTGTGCTCGGGTCCCTCGGCCGAATCAGCAACCAATTTGATAATCTCGACTGGGATATTATCAAATGGGTTCTGGAGGCGTTTGGAATCCGGGAAGATTAGTACTACTCGTTTCAAACCAGTACCGCTGGCTCGAAAATAAGGGAGAAAAAGGCAATGAGGGAAAGCACATACCTCCGTCCATGCAGGATCCGATCCAGTAATCTCGCCTTGAGTAGACATACTCAGTTGGCGTTAACTAATTAATTCGGTATATATTATTAGCAGCCGGAATGTAATGCGAATCATGTCCTGGAAGCTTACAAGTAACAACCTTAAGTGGTATAAAGGTTGGTCTTAGTGGTTGTTATCTTTTTAGGTACATTGTCTGAAAGGGTAGGAGAGCGTAGTAGGTAATAGACCTGCTCTACCACGGCAGGAAATGCATCAATTGATGCATTTCCCATACGAAAGCGGCTTGCAAATGCATCAGTTGATGCATAAGCTTGTCGAGGCCTCAATAAATGCATCAGGCCACACATTTGCTAACGATTTTACCTACACCTTTACCTACTGTCGACGATTTTACCTACACCTTTCCCTACGACTTTCCTGGGGAACATTGTTAATCAGTAGGGAAAGGTGTAGGTAAGATCGTCGACAGTATTTACTCAGTAGAGAAAGGTATAGGTAAAATCGTCAATAGTAGGGAAAGGTGTAGGTAAAATCGTCGACAGTACTTCAAAGTAGTAGGGAAAGGTGCTGGTAAAATCATCGACAGTATGTACTTAGTAGGGAAAGGTGTAGGTAAAATCGTCGACAGTAGGTAAAGGTGTAGTAGGGAAAATCGTCGGACCGCGAATACTACTAGTACTAGTACTGTTCTTGGTATTTCTTGTCTCTACTGATTATTGACTTAGATATTCATGGATCTCCAGTTCGGCTACATATACCTATTGAGTCAGCTTATACGTATTGCTTGTACTAGTAAGTACTATATATTGAACAGATATAATGGTACAGGTGGTAAACTCCAAGTCTAAGCTAGATAATCGGAAGGATTCAGGTTCGATCCCTCCACATTCGTTTGTTTTGCATCGGGGCAGGAGTGTTCTTCGGTATGATGCATTTACTAGTCTCTTTACCGATCCCTTTACTGATGCCTTTACTGATGTCTTTACTAATTCCTTTATTAATGCATTTCAACCCACTGGCCCGGGCATGATTCAGAAATCCGGCACTGTTTGCATTTCTATTTTCCTGATATAAGCCTGAGTATTTCCCGAACTCTTGGCAAAACGAGACTGTGATGCATTAAGGATGCATTAGTTGATGCATTAGTTGATGCATTATCTACACGTTTTAGGAACAAGGCTTGATAAATTGACTGACGACTTTCACTGATGCATTTATGATGCATTTACTGATGCATTTCGTACCATGGTAGAGGGTATTGCCATAACTGTAAAGTTGCATGCAATTAATGAATTAAACAAAAAAAAAAAAAGAAATCATGATCTGCATTCATTCTTTAACCAAACTTCACTATCCTTCTTATACCAGCTATAAGCTTTTGAGAACGTGGTGAAGTTTAGGAGACAGGTTCTAATAGTTCACGTCCTGACCTGTTCGCCTGCCTACTAGTCTCTGGTGTGCTCAGACTAGGCAGTGCGTGCTCTAACGGTGGAAGCGCACCTTGAACAGCAATCCTGATTTGTAACGGCAGAACCTTCCTTGAATTTGGTGGGTATATTCCGGTAGCTTCAAATGCAGTTTTCATTGCCTTTGCACTATATGCCTGCTTTCAAGCCTCGATCACTAGCCTGACTTGACTTAGCAACTATACTAAAAACAATATATTTCTCTATACCTAATTAATGAATTGGGCTTTGCTAATGGTTCTAAGACCATGACTAGTCCATTTATCCAACTTCGCTGAGTACTACCGCTGTAGCTGAGAGAACGACTCAACGTCAAGTAGCCGTATTACATGACTTTGTTTGGGGAAATAGCCAGTGCTAAGCGATAATTCTGTAGCGTTTAAACTGATGATATTGTAAACCGGATTCCCTTGACTTGGTGGTTGATGATACACTCAAGTCTTCGCAGAATCCAGCCCTATTTATACATGTGGGAACCTATGCCAAGGCCCGCTTTCTAATACTAACTGATACAACGATAATAGAATAAGATAATGCTCCCGAAGATAACCCAGATAGAAAAGCACCCCCGCATAGTTCCGTCCTCCATTCTAATTCCGACACGTAACCATGAACCTTGCAATTGTCAGTCATCGGGCTGTACCATACTATTATCCTAGACCTACTTCCCTAAGTAGAACAGCCTACAGCCATAAGCCCCGCTTCCTATTCTATTTCGGGTGAGACACCCAATAGTAAGCGTGCCGTCATAATAGTATAATACTAGTGTGGTAACACCGCGTGCCCCCACACTACCCGATACCTTTCTATGCTTGTCCTTCCGTTACCCGACCGTCCTTCGCATCACAACTCGTCACTCGTATTCCTCACTGTCCTAAGCCTCTAGAACAGTGTTCCGTAGTTCCTGTAACAGACTTGTACTTGAAGGAGGACACAGGACAATGATATCATGTTCAACTGTATATATTAGGAACCCAGGATTCATACGAGAATTATAACCATCAAGGATCAAGAGCCGAGTTTCTCTGCCCGCACTACAGTTTCTTAGTATAGTATACGAGTGTACTAACCTTGTTCTGCTATATTTGTCAAATACCTCTTTGATATATTCCACACCAAACTCATTATCTATCCATTCCTTACTCGATACTAAAAATGTTGCCCGCCCAGTTGGGTCAACATCAGCATAACAACCAGCAACGTGGGACTTTCCCTGGCGTATAATCATTGGCTCAATCACTTCACTGGCAGCCGATACCCACTCAATCACTGTGACGAAGACCCTGCTCCAATCTCGTGTTCTTCCTTCCCCTACAGCATATAACTCGACATTTATATTTCTGTCCAATGATAAACCCTTTCTCGTCAATATTTCATGTATTTTGCGGCCAGATATTGTGCTTTCTAACAATCTTTTCAAGCTGTCCAACTTTGAGTATTTTTTCAATCACGAGTTCAAGTTGGGGTAGACACATACAAGCTGAAAGAAATATTTGAGAACGCTCCGGTTTTCCGCAATCGCTCTGTGCCTATCTATTCTAGTAGCTATCTCTCTATCGAGTATGGGGTGGCGGTTGACAAATCTGGATATCCAATGCTTTCCCAATTCTCTTCTGTTTCCAACGGGTTGAATCCGAACAGCTAAAGCCTTTACATAGGGCAGCTTCAACGGGTTGCCCCATCAATTCAACTTTAGACAAAGTTGCACAATCGCCTCCTCCTGCTCTGACCTGAGTAGAGAGCTCTCAGAGTGAGATTGAGATCGCGGTTGTGCCCTATTGAGTCTACGGATCAAATATTGATAGGGACATTATGTTCCGCTGCAGCAGCTCTCATAGTGCTGAACCTGTACAAATTAAAGTCTCTAATCGCGGCCTGGATATTCTCCTCCTTGCGGTTGATGATATCCCTTCGTTTATACTTGGGCCTTTTATTGTTTCTGGGTTCATGACATTGCTATCAGCCGTATGATTCGTATATAAGTATGGCACTATAACCCTGTCTTGTCCCTTTACCCCATACCAAACGTTATATGTTAAAAAAGGTGCTTCTATAAAAATACATTTCTTTGAAAAGTCGGTGTCTTTATTGATATGGTTTTACTGTTACTTTTAAACCTGCAAAACATGTACGGCTCTAATCACACCCGGCTTTCCCGTATTGTAGGCGAGGCCGTTGAGAGTGTGCTTACGGTAAGGAGTTAGCAAGGTTTTGGCAAATGTCTACAACGCGTTAGGCCACGAATGTCAGTGGTAGAGTAGGATAGAGAGGAAGTCTACTTGACCCACTCGAGATAATCGATAGAAGTAATCCTTGAAGTACCTTTTCGGTATCACTTCAGTAATTTCTCCTTTATTTCACATTCTTCTTGCTCGCGAATCGAAAAAAAAATTTATACCTCGGTAGAGGTCTCTTACACCCTATTCGGCAATACCTTAATATCATGATATTTAGCCCAATATCGTGATATTAAGTAAATAAACAATATTTTTTCTAGTGATAGTATTCGGGCAACAAAAAATTTCAACATTCTCATTCTGGTATCTACCCAATATCCCGATAAACCATATTCTGCTCTAACCTAAATATTTGAAATAGCACTACTAGAATTAGTGGCTCAACCCAGCAAATACACCCCAACGTCCCAACTTGTGGTTGCAGCCGAACACGCCAATTGTAACCACGATATTCACAAATATACTAGATCACAAAAATCTAACATTTGGTTCCAATCTTTTCAGGTTGCAACCTCGCCATATTCATATTAAGATGTCGCTACAGCAGGTGTGTTGGCTCTAGAGTTGGTGAAACCCGTGACCGAATATCTCTGTGTGGTACTTCTGGTACCGCGTGGCAACCGCAACCCAATCCGGAAGGTACTGGGGTGAGCAATGCTATCCCTTAGGCGGTCAGTCCGGATTGAAATATAAAACTAACTGTATCTGTGCATATGTGCTGTGTTGAACGCACAGAGTGTTTATTCTAGTATTCGGTAACTTACCACACGCTGGAGACGTGCTGTCATGTTCACGGCCTTAATGCGAGGATAACCATGAACGGCGTTCATCACGGAACAGATACCAATTACGGTTGGTTTTATATTTTAATTGGAACTGACCGTGTAAGGGATAGCTGGGTGACAAAGTAACCATGATTTTACATTGCAACCAGATTTTGTATGGGAATGCGTCTTGAAACAAGTATAACTTCACAACCATAATAGATATCAAATAAAGGATTGAATAAGTAGAAAGCCTTAGATTGATAGAACCTATCTCTTGGGTATAACCCCGAGAACCGATTTTGGAAGTTGGTCGATTTGGGCAATTTTTGCTGGTCGTTACGCAAAATCACGGTCACTTTTGTCGCTCAGCAATACTTCTGGAACCTGCATATAAGTGTTTCCTGAACAAACACAAATCACTTCGAAACCTCCTCACGAGGACGAATTGAAATGACTGGAATCTTTCAAAAAGGTTTACCGTATTTTCCCTATTCCAGGATCCCCTGGGATAAGGTCAAATCAAAACCCAGACGCTCCTTCTCCTTTTGCGTCCTATCAACTTGAAGTTTCTTTAACGTAAAGAGCGCTTATGCCCTAGGCCTGGGTTAATAGCGCACAGATGGAGTAGTCGGAACGGTGGGGGGCGGGGGTGTAAAAAAAGAGTGCTTGTTTAACATTACATGACTATAACGAGATGTTTCGTACGTCCATAAATTGAAGCATAGTATCTACACTAGATAGCAAATGTTGACTTCTTAGTTATGAAAATTGAACCCCACACCTACCCAGGCCGTGAGCAAACCTTAAGTCGCCCAACCTAGGAAAGACCTGCCAGCCCAGCAAGCCCGGGCTATGGAATCACCCTACACCTAGAAGGAAACTATGGTGAAGGAATCAATATAAATTATCATACTTTATCCGTATGGTAGAGGATATATATATATAGGAAGCTAGTACGTAAAGAAAACACGCGTACCGGACGGTGATGTGCCTCGCTGACTTACGTATACCGAAAGAGCAATGCGCATTCGTGTTCTAAGAATCCGGAGCTGCGAAGCTCGCTTGCGGATTCTGGCGCAGGTGCTAGACTCACAGGGATGCGCAAACGAAGACAGAACTGCTTTCCCAAATTAGGCACAGAGGAAATGTATCTTGACAAGCTATCCTCTATACCTGTATTCAATAATATTTATTGACTTGAAGCTTGTAGTGTTGGATTACATGTGCAAATAATCTTGGAAATAACAAAAGTTATTTAAACAAACGAAGCTATCGGGGGCACCTCCTCTACAAGACGTTGGCCCATTTCTCGCCAACCTGTTCTTCCTGCACTTGCTCGTACTTCCAGACTTGAAAGTCGATCGTGTGCGGAGCGCATCCCTTGGTACCATTCACCCTGCTGGCCCTAATACCCTCATCATCGGTGATGAGAGCATTGACACCAAGCTCCATGAGGAGCTTGATCATTCCAACTTCGCCCTTCTCCACGGCCAGATGTAGCGGAGTCTTCCCGAACATGTCCTTTGCATCAATATCAGCACCGGCATGAATCATGGTGAGCACAGAACAACGGTAAAGTGCCTTGACTCTTTTGAAATCGTCCTCGCTCTCTTCTCCGAGAAGAATTGAAGACTTGACTGAGATGTATCCGGACAACGCAAAAAGGTGTAGAGGAGTACGCCCTTCGTAGTCGACGGCGTTGACATTGGCGCCAGCTGCGCAGATCATGTTGACCATTGGTAGGACAGCGTCGTGGATCGCATTGCTGGATAATCCCCACATCCCTAGCCAGTGCAGGCAAGTGCGTTCGTCTGTTTCCCACATTTCGTTACCGAAATACTTCTCGATATTGGCACCTCCAGCGATCAAGACTCTGAGAAGCCCGGCCTTTCCACTTGTAATGACGGACTCGAGTGCATCAGTGCACGCTTGGGTACGGAGACCAGCAGGCATCTCCTCTATGAGTGATTGAATTAGGTTGGATGGAGCGTGGGGGGATTCGCAGGCGAAGTGGAAAGCCTCATTCGAGTCTCTCTCGGAGATGAATGCCATCAATCCATGTGTGAGGGGTCCATGACCAATATTGACTGCGCTTTTGAAGGCAGCAAGCGCACAATGTTTGCCGGCGGTGATGAAGGGTTTGATGATTCGGAAGATATCCATGCGGCCGGCCTCTGCGACCCTTTCCAAGGCATATTGCTCTTCGTACTCTTGGAGAAGGGCAAGAGTCATGGAGTCGTTGCCTTTTTCTCGAAGGGTGAGCAACACCAATGTCTTCTCCAGGCTGGTAATGGCAACGTATCCCGCTGACCCAGGATCTGTCCTTTTTCCGAGGATCGACTGCAGGTCCTCATTGCAGAGGGACAATGCCGCAGAGGCATCCGTCTCACAAGAGTCGTGAATATCGAGGATTAACTCGACAGGCAGTGTTCGGAACGGGTTACTTGAAACTTCTAAGTACTATATTAGTGTTTGTACACCGAAAAGAAATACAGGACCATCTATATGTATATATTATCCGTGCCATAGATTTTGAGAGGGAATAATCTACCTTTGCTTTCGCACTTGTCTAGTGGACCAGCGGTGAAATTTGTTGAAGACATATCACAGAACCTAACCTGTGCTCTTTCACTGTTTGAACGGCAAATAGTTCATTAGCGATGAGTGCAAGGAACGACCTATATCTTGGAGGGACAGGGGTGTGTCGTAACTGTACCTTATCTTCGCCGAGTGTTTCCGTAAGATAGAACGTGAGGTTTAGTATTTGGATCGAAAGAACATTTATTTTTATTGGTACATTGGATCTGGGTCGTTCGCAATCGCTGCTATTTAAGGTGAGTTCAGAATCATCCCCATCTTTCTAATTTCTGGGGCCCCGCCAACAGGTTTACAAACTGGACCCCTACTTCCCCCCTAACATGCAAGTCACGGGGTAGGCAAGGAGAATAACCTAATTCATAGATATAAAATACAACGAAACACTGCTATTTAAGAAGCATCAATCAATGATATGCACTGGGAACACCAGAGCGGCAGGTTTAAATAACTGATGTAATATAGAAGACATTAATTAATATCATCATCCCATGCACATATGTAGAATCAAGTAGTTTGAGCGAGTGAGAGGAATTAAGAGTATGACGAAGACTTCATTATTCAAGTTATTTAATTGATTTAATTTGATAGAATAAAATAAGTTCCAATAACCACGCTGAAAATACCGAAGATATTTTAACAGAGTGGTCAAAAAACGTACTGTTGAGCTATTCAGTAGACCATACCATGACCCATTGCGATCCGTTTCTTCTGTGCCTGTTCGTACTCCCACACGCGAAACTCAATGCTGTGTGGGATTCGCCTATAGCCGTTAATCCCGCTTGCCCGAATGCCTTTACGATCGACGAGAATAGCATTAACCCATGCTCCATAAGCAATTCAACCATCACCACCTCGCGAGCGATCACAACGAGGTGGAGTGGCGTTCTCCCGGAGGTATCCTTAACGTGAATATCAGCTCCCGAGTTGATGATCGTACTCAAGACTGAGTGATAAAGGGTGTCAATAGAATCTTTGTCTGGGTCGTCGTTCTCGATGTAAGGTTTGACGGCGTTAACTCCAGCCAAAGGAAACTCATGGAGAGCGGTTCGTCCTTGGGAATCTACCACATTGACATTCAGACCAGCTGCACATACTCTCGCGAGTATCGGACCAAGGGAATGGCGAACTGTGTTTCTTCTCAAGCACCACATCGCCAACCAGTGAAGGCAGGTGTGTCGTTGCTTTCCAAGGCGTCCTCCTTAAACTTTTGGTTAACATTCGCACTGTTTAAAATTAATACCTCGGTGATTCCCGTTTTGACAGAAGAGATTGCAGACTCTAATGGGGAGGTGCAGGCTTTCCTACGAAGGGTACGAGGAATGTGAGTGATGAGAGAGGCGATATCGTCTCGGTTGCTGAAAGTACAAGCAAGCTTGAAGACACTTAGGGTGTCTTCATCCGATAGGTGTTCGACCAAGATGAGCCCGTAGAAACCGTTTCCAACTGTCGTTTGGAAGGCAACCATGACGTATTTTTTTCCAGAGGTTATAAAGGTCGAAGAATATCCAGGAGGTCTAGGCGACTAGCTTGAGCTACTAGCTCTAAGGCGTACCCATTTTCGGTCTCTCGTAGGAGGGCAATTATTGACATACCGAACAAGAATCTAAAAGCACACCCAATTATGCGTGCTGAGGTTGGTAAATGTCTTTGAATATCTTGGTTGTGAATACCATAAAAGATCAAGAAAGGTTTGGTTTTGTGGATTCAAATGTTGGAGTGATTTACCGGGTGTTCACACGAATTTCTCCAAAGCGCACCCTCATGTGTGTTTTAGTTGGAACACCAAATCATAAGAATTGGTTGGGCACGTCTCTTTAGCACCGCCCTATGAAATCCAATCTGTGCCCCCGCGTTATATATATATATGTAGTGAAGTTCATGAATCTAATGTATAATACAATTAGAAATCCGTCAGAGTGTGGTACTCTCAGGGACGCTCTATATAGTGATGTTCTACATTCGGTAAGCACTGATAGATGCAAGATAGCCGCCCATATATCCCGTCGTTCCCACCATCAATCTGCACACTCCCTTCAAACTCCGGCACGGAAACCACAAGGGATACGGCAGCAACATCTCAAATATACCGCCAACTACACATATCCGTGCAATTGCCGTAACAAGGAACGCAGTTTATCTAAAAAAGTCACAGCAGCGTTTGGTCCTATATAGCGGACTGACAAGAAGTTGTCCGTATGACATACAAAGAAACACTTCCAGTCGGGAACCGGCGAAACCCTATATACCAACGCGCTTATCCAATTTCGGGGAGCGTTGTAGTTTGCGCTCATCCGAGCTGGAACCCGCTTGGCCGGGATTATAGTCTCTGAGAGAGCTATTTCCCGTGTCTAGAGACGTTTCTCGTATTTAAAATTAGCATCAAAGAAACGATTACTCCCGGAACAGTGTGGAAGACATCGAGTGATATTACATGATTCGTTTGTGTCAATGATTGATAACTCATTCCTTATACTGGACCTGAACACGCTGGATATTCTAAGAGTATGCGTAATAGAAGCAAATGATAAATAAAATCAAAATGAAAATAGTGCTTGAAGTGCAAATTAAAACAACTGAATCGAGACTTATAGAACTTTGCACTCCCGGCGCTCGTTTAATCATGTTACAAGAATGCGAGAGAGCTAAGTGTCTGTCCTCAATATGTGCACAGTTTTTTAAACATGTGATTGCGCACATATATATCTACATATATGACCTTAAGCCTTGTTTGCTACAGGATTTTATAGGTACTAAATTGGCATACACGTATTTAGGGACACGTCTCCTAAAGCAGGAATATATGAGTTCAAACCTTAATCACCACCCCAGCTCAATACGTAAGAGCTATGGATGCATGTGGTTTGGTGCTATTATATATTCACTAGGCGTCTGGATTCACTTACTAACTTACTTTCCCATGAGGCGTGTAGGTGCATAGATTTCGACATATATACTGAAGTCCACCGCCAACTAAAGGAGGGCATAAAATAATGTCATCAAGTGGTTGATGAAAAACCGTTCATTTCTTGACATCGAATTCTACTTCATAATACCAATTTGATTTAATTATACTCGAGAAAATACCATGACAAGTTTCCACACTCTATCTAAAATAGCATGAGATATTTTAACAATGTGAATATTCAAAATTGGAAGCCTTCGTCCTACCACTATTCTCCGAGCCGACTTCACCTGTTCATTTGTACTCCACTCTCTTTGACTGTCGCTGTTCATATTCCCAGACCTTAAAATCGATGGTGCCCGGGACTGCAGCTTTTCCGTTCACTTGACTCGCTCTCATGCCATTGTCATTCAGGACATTGACACCGAGCTTGAGGAGTAGATTACACAAAACCGGTTCACCATGCCTCGCCGCGAGGTGAAGAGGCGTTTTCCCGGTATTATCTTTGACGTTGATATCTGCCCCTGCTTTGATCAAAGCGCGCAAGACAGACCTATAGAGGTGGTTGATTGAGGTGTCGGCAACATGGCCACTGAATTCATGGCGGAGACCGGGAGTGACAGTATTCGGCCCAGCAAGGGCGAAGTCATGCAGTGGGGTTTGTCCATTAAAGTCAAGAGCATTAGTGTTTGCACCAGCAGCACACAAAAGCTTTACCATGGGCCTCACAGATCGGTGGATATCGTTATTCCAGAGGCCCCACGTCCCTAACTAATGTAGACAGCTGCGTTGATCCCGCTCCCGGTCCTCATGAATTAGACGCCTGTCGACGTCAACACCACCCTCGATTTGAACTCTCAACAGACCGATTTTGCCACCTGTGACAGCGGTCTCAAGTGCTAGCGAGCAGGCCTGGCGGCGAATCTTAATAGGAATATGAGGGATAAGCCTCTTGATGACTCCCGGTTTCGTATAAATGCAGGCTTCCACAAAGACCTCGAGGAGGCCGGCCTTGGAGAGATGAGGTAATAGGCCTTGCATCAGGTGTTCGTGGTTGATTCGGACTGCTGACTTGAACGCTGCAACGGTGGACTCGTTCCATGGGTGATATACGGTTGAATGATATTGAAAATATCCATGCGTCTTTCCCGTACTACGGTGTCAAGCGCATTCCCATCTTCGGTCTCACGGAGTAATACAAGTATCATTCCGTCAGGACCTCTTTCCGTAGAGTGCACAGAACTAATGTCTTTTCAAAACTGCAAATCGCGGTATAGGCGAGGGGCTCGGGGTCGATAAATTCTTCGAGAAGGAACTCGAGGTCCTGGCAGCAGAAGGAAAGCGATGCGAGCTCATCGGGGTTGCAGATTGATCGACGGATGTCATGAACGATCTCGACCGGAATGGAGGAGAAAGGCCCCCCAATCGAGCTTGAAACTAGGAATAAGGTTATGAAAGATTCGAAGATAGGATTGGGTAGGGAAGAACTTACCTAGATCGTTGACCTAGTCAACCATCAGACGGGTGTTCGATGCTGACATGTTCAATTCAGTAAAGGATTTAAAGATTTGCTTAAATATCCTAATACAAGTTATGTTAGTATTGGGTGGTGAAATTATACAGCTATGTTCCCGGCTCGGTATACCTGTTAATTTAGCGTCAATGAATCTGATAAATGGTAAGATTTGTGTGAAGATGCGTAACGACGTGATTAAAGCGCTGGAGTTATTCCATTAATTTTTAGTGCGGTAGCGTAAAAATATGTTGCACCTTCCACTTATTTTTTCAAACATCCACACTTGAATATCAGTAGACAAATGCTACGTCACTCCCGTATACACCGAACCCCGAATTACGCTGTCTTTCAAATAATTATATAGCTAATTATATTATTCTAAATTTTTAACTTCATGCAAGGAGGTATTTAGCTCTTATATGCTTTCTAAATGCCATCCCCTGCTTATATAGTCATTGGGTTGGGGTATATAGTTAGAATATCCCTGGTCTGCACCACCGGGGGATCGAAGGGAGAGCTACTAAGAGTCATTTTTTGGGATATTTAGATAGCAAAGAAGATATCCCTCAGTTGCTTTTCCATGAGTCTACGATGAGTATTTTCACGAATCATCAGACTTTGCAGCGCTTGTAGCACTTAGAACGCAGGAAAATGTTGGAGGAAGAAAGCAGATCTTGCGTTGGGCCTTCCTATGTCCTGATAATGATCTGTTTAATAATAAAAGAGATAAAGATATGTTTGTGACATTGCGACCGCGTCACAGACATCTACAGAGTGATTATTAATATTTTCGGAGAACAAGCAGCAGTATGAGCCGGGAGTTCGCGAAAGTAGTCTATCCAGAAACAAAGTTTTCAAGTTTTTGTAGTATTCCTTTTGCCAGATGAAGAAGGCCGGGGGGACCACCATTAGAAAAAAGACAGATTCCAGAAAAGGTGGAGAAGAGAAACACAAGGAGATTGTTTACGCAGGTCTTCCGAGCAGCATTAAAGGGAGTGTATTCAGAGAAATTAATACTTGAAGACACTAAGCGGAAAGAATACCCAACGGTTCTAGAATTAGCCCACACCGCAGTAGAGTCGGCCGGGCCTATATACCCATCCGGTGCCGATCAATGGCCACAACAAAGCTCTCCGCGGAATAATGTATTTCCCGCGCTCACTTCCGAAATAATCGTATGAGGCCCGATGTCTTCATTGTTAAATGCCGGCGGTTGTTTGCTATCATCTATTTGACATTCGGGCTAAATAGGTAAATCCAAGTGACAGACCATGACTCACTTTGGGCCACAAACCGTGAAGCAAACTTTGAGCTAAGGGGTATCGCTATTAGATAGCGTGAGATTTGTATTAACTCACATATTCTGAAAATTAGAACCCCAGATTTTGGCGCTATAAAATTAAAAGAATCCTAACAAACAGAAGCGAACCTTTCAATGTCAAGGGTGCCGAAAGACACGGATCGAGAACCTTTAAAAGCGATACCACACAAAAAACGCATCTTCTAGAGTATCCAAGACCTGTGAAAATTGAAGGTAGCACCTTCTGGGACTGACGAAAGACAGGTTGGAACCCCGTAAACAGGGGGCGACTTTGTCAACTCTTCCTTGGGTCGAGTGATAGGTTGTGACTACGGTTATAATACCCATATCCGATGAAGCGACATACGTATACTTTCGTTACAGATGCAAGGTGTCTAACTATGTCTGTAAATCACTTGTGGCGATGTGGCGCATGTCCTTTTTCTCACCGCCTTCCCCAAAACGGCAGCCGCACGCCAAAGCCATTGAGTTAACAACATTGACGTACGATAACTTTCACGACGTGCGAGTAGGCAGTGATCTGAGTACAAGGAGTAGGTTGGAATAATCTATAACACCATGCAGCTACTTGAATTTACTACGTCCACCTCCTAGGCCCCTAACCCTGACGCCAAGCTTTGTTACATTTCTATTTTCATAACGGTAGACTCGGTGGGGGGGGGGGGGGCACGAAAGGCTTTCCGAAATAAAGTTCATATTATCAAATTTAGGCTACAAGATTCATTCATGGTTTTATCTTGTGATAAGAGAGCTATATAGATGTCCTTCAGGCTTAGCCCGTTGTTACCAAGAGACCCGCACGTTTATTTATTTTTTGATAATTCATTGATTGTGTGCAGCTCGAGTTCTATGACGCAGAGCTTCACGGGATATGATCAGAGGCTTATTTACACAAACTGGAATAGCCCAGGTTCATATGCCACTATAATCACTTAACAGATGAAAAGCACAAATTCAACATATTCACAAATCAGGATGAAATCTTAGTGAGTTAAACAGCAAGATAAAGTAATACGGACGTTGTTATTTCATTTAACTATATGAAGGATAATTCCTTGCTGTTATTCGATAGCCCTTACAGAATAAGCTACAATAATGATTCTCGACAAAGAAGGAAAAAAGTAACAAATAGTTATTCTTGCCACCGAAACCACACTCCCTTAGACCACCTCAGTGAACGACCGCCGTCTGCATCCCAGCCATCCTTTCCTATTGCATCTCCAACATGAGAACCTTGAATTCGATAGTATGTGGTGCGAAGTGAGCAGTCCTATTCGCTTTACTGGCTCTGACTCCTTCGTTGTCAGCAATTAAAGCGTTCACACCGGCCTCCATAAGGACCTTGATCATGATAGACTCCTTACGCTCCACGGCAATGTGGAGCGGGGTTTTCCCCCATTCGTCTTGAAGGTTGATATCCGCCCCGGCATTGATAATAGTCCATAGCGTACATTCGTAGAGCCATACGAGTCTGCCCTTGTTGAAGTTGTTTTGAACTTCCATCGTGGGGGTAACAACTCTCGAGTCGTACGATGCGAGGTGGTGGAGCGCCGTGCGGCCTTGCGAATCGAGGGCGTTGACATCAGCCCCACCGTCACAAAACATACGGACCATAGCCCCAACCTAGTGAGGGACCAGGTCAGTGATGAGCCCGTAAAGCCCCAACCAATGGGGAGAGGTACATTGGTCGATAGGGTGCTGTTCGGAGACCATAATAGTGTTAAGGTTGGCGCCTCCATGGGTTAGGACACGGACAATATTTTTTCTGCCACTCGTAACCGAGAACTCGAGGTTTAGCCTACAAACCCTTTCCCAAAGGCGAGTCGGTAAGTGGTAGATAAGGATGTCGACGACGGATGAATTGCCGGTGGTGCAAGTCATTCCGAAGACTTCGACGATAACCGCATCTGAGAGGTAAGGGATGAGGCGGTGCACCATTGTGTAATATTTGTCTCCCACGGCGGAGATGGCGGCAGCTCGCATACTCGGATCCCCGTAGGTAATGTACGGCTCGATAATTGCGAAGATATCCCGGCAGTTGTTCTGCACAATCGAATTTAGAGCGTACATATCGTTCATGGACCTAGTTAAGTCATCTCTCAGGGCTCTCCCTCCGCTCTTCCGAAGTGTGCGCCGAATCAGAATGATCCCTAGGCTACACATGGCGACGTATGCAGTGTGTACGGGGTCACAGAAGCCTTCCAAAATATATTCGAGATCTTTGTTGCATAGTGCGAGCGCGGCGACTGCATCGGGATAGCCAGGAATATTCCCAATCTCGCGGATGATCTCTACGGGGAGAATTGTGAAGATATTGTACGACAAGGTTTTGCCTAGTAGGAGATCAGCCCAATTAGCTTCCGAAGGATGCTTAAGCACTGGAAACTGGGAGGGACAAACGTCGAAACCCAGTCTTTTCCTCCTCCACGGGTCTAGCGGCCGGCGGAATAATGTCGAGAGTCGAACGAAGCCCTGGTGTAAACCAGTGCACATAACTATTTATTAGATATACGATTAGCACTCATGCTATGTTAGCACGGAATACTTTAAATATACAAACCTGCTGATAGAACTATTCACGGAGTAACTCATTATTACTTATCGTAATTGGTGGAGATAATTATAAGACGTTGGGTTGGCAAAGACAGTATGTTTCACAAGCTCCTTTGAGGTTTTTTTGTTAATTGGGGCTAGAGACGAAAGAGGGTTCATGGGTTGCTGAAGTGAGGTACACTTATACTCATCTTTTGTCCCCCACTCAGCGAAATGCACCGGAGCTAAGAAGGACGTTTCTCACAGCACATGCCAAAGATCAAGCTCGAATGCCGCCGCCGACATAGCCAGAGTATTGTACACAAGAGGGAGAGTGCCAGGTGATCTTCAATCATTTCCTGAACCATCCTTACGAGTTAGGTCCACTCGTATTCCGAAATACCAATTTCCATAGGTTTTGTGTTTCTTAACCCTACAAATATGCGTTCCATAGTTGAAATATAGTTTAGTAGTATATCTTATTGCAAGATATGCAAGGAAAGCACCAATAGGCATATAGTAGGACACTTTATAATACTTATCCTGAGAGAAGAGGGATGCTCTTCATTTCATTTGCTACATTCTCCACTGACAACCTGCAACTAACCAATCTCATCTATAGTGGAGAAAAAACAATGTTTGTCCGTTTGGGGCAGCTACCTTAAGCTAGGCATTAAGACAGAAACAAAAGGGCACGTCTGCTGGGGAGGGGCAGTTTATCCTTCAACAACCCTCTTATCCTTCTTGAACAAAGCACAACTCATTCGAAACAAAGTGCTTTTCCATGTCAGCGTCCCCATGGCCTTCTCTTGAGATTTTAGGATAACCTTTCAGAGTTTATACCGCCAGAATAGTTCCCCGGCACTCAGACAAAATCATCTTTAAAACCACCGCCTACCACAGCGCCCATGATACCCATAACGGAAGCTCCGCCATATTTTAATCTTGAGTAAAGCAAAGTATAAAATGTGCTATTTTTATGATTGTTTTTCGCCCGCCGGAGCTTCCCTCTCCTCAAAACTCAAAATGCTGTCTTCCCGCCTGCATACTACATAGGTTAAAAACTTAACAATCCCGTTCAATAATGTCATAGTCTCGTCGTCTAGTATTATTCGCTCATAATGTTCCCTAACTATATCATCTAATAAGTATATAATTATAACCTGCATATGCAGGCGGTTTTATAGTGTTTCGATTGGTTGGAACCGATTCGTCGACGTTTCACTAGATTAGTCATCTAGCTTATGGAACACTGTAAAAATCTAAATAGAAGTCAGAATTAACTTAAAAATCATCACGAGTAGTGTTTTGCGATAAATTTAGAAGTAATGTTACGACTTGGATTGGGTAGAGAATAATACTGATTGAGGGTTTGCAATTATTGGGTCAGAGTTACGACAGTTGGAGAAGACTTTTCAATTAAGGAAGAGAGGGATACCAAGATGTGGTTACAATTGTAGTCGAGAATAATACTGAATTGTGATTTACAATCATGAACAATTACGATTGGTTTATAAGTACTGTTGTTGGTAAATGTTCCAATTATTGATTATCACTGGCAGAATTGTGAGTTAGTAAGTTATAATTGTTGATTTTGGTATTCGGGAATTGTGTGTGTGTGTGTGTAGTCATTTCATTTCTAGTTTCTAGGTACAGAATGGTCGCATGCAGTATAAACTATGGCATAAAGAGACCTAACCCCTATCTTTACTTGAACACGTACCCCTAAGGAAAATAACGCAAAGCAAACTGAAAAATATACAGAGAAAGACAAGCGAAGCAGCGCGGGACAAAGGAAAGGTTTTGTTGGCCGGGCCCGTGTGCCCAATGTGGGTCTTTCTTATGAGGCGTAGATTGCGGGATTGGCCCCGCTAGCGAGTATGAGGAGGATGTGGTGGGGATCGATGTGAGGGTCGACATGGTCGTTGAGCCTGTGGCTAGTGGTGAGGGGGGGGCGCTTCTGGGGTAGCCGACTTCCGTGACTGCTATGAAGCCAACTAGGGCTATGGTGAGGTTCTGGTCATTCCAGATGTTGTTTAGTGATAAGATAGTCTGTAGCGGGCCGTGTCTGTTTGGGGCGAGCGCCGGGCGGTGGAAGATGGCATGTTCTGGTGTTTCTTCCGCTGTATTGCAGCGTTCGCATTTTGAGGAGAGGTGAGCGGTCATCCAGGTTTTTTGGGCTCGAAGGTAGCACTTTCCTGACCTGAACTGGTGGATGCGGGTTGCGATGAATTTGTGGAGGTCGTTGAAGGGTAGTGGGGTGCTGGAGAGTGGGTGGGGGTAGTATTCAGGGGTGGGTAGAAGTGCTGCCAGTTGGTGAGGAGTTTTGTTTTTCATGGAAGTTCATTCGGGCTGGGGCGATGCCTCCTTCTATAAGGGGGAGGAGGAGAGATGCGAGGAGTTCGATGGGTAGGTGGGCGACGCCTTTAATGGCAGTCGAGTTCCTTTTCTTGGGGGGATTGAGGAGACCTTTGAGGAGTTGGGTGTGTGAGTATGTTCTGTGGGTGGTGATGGTTGGGAAGGAGGGGCTGGTCCTGCCTGTCACAGGGTTTCCGAGAGTGGATGCGCGGAGAATTCGTATCGCGTATTTGCATTTGAAGTAGTGGAGGTAGAGGTCAAGGGGGGGTGTGTTAGCCTCTGCCCATAAAACTTTGCAGTTGGTGGCTCTGAAACATCCTGTGGTCCACCACAGGACCGAGTTCCAGAAGGTTATCATGGATTTGAGGGCGGAGGTTGGGGTGAGAAAGTTTGCGCCGTAGGTGAGCATGGGTCTTATTGCTAGTATGGCAGCTTTGTGGCAATTACGGGAGGAGAGGCCTTTGCCTGCTGTGGAGAAGCATTGTATGAGGCCGAAGGCTGACCTTGCCGAAGCTAGTCTTCTTAGGAAGTGGGTGTTGGGGTTGAATGAGGGTGAGAGCCAGAAGCCCACCCACCTGACTTGATGTCCGAGTTGGAATTCCTGTCCGTCTAGGGTGATTGATGTGAGGCAGATTGGGGATTTGTCTCTTGGTATTCGCCAGTGTATTAGTTCCGTTTTTACTACTGAGAAGGTGACATTTTGTGGGGTGGCCAGGGTTGGTAGCCTGCTGTAGTGGTTTTGGAGAATGGTAATGTTTCGGTGGTATGATGGGGAGCCGACTGTGATCGCGAAGTCGTCTACGTATGAGAGGGTGAGTCCGGGAGATGGGTCGAGGTAATGCAGGAAGTTGACGTATATAACGAAGAGGAGGGGAGAGATGGGGGGGCCTTGGCGTATTCCTACTTGCACTGGGGTGGCTATCTTTGGGGAGCCTTTGAAGAGTAGGGTGATGTGCCTGTCAGAGAGGAAGGAGAGGGTCCAGTTGATTATGTAGGGAGGGACTGATTTGGCTGCGAGTAGGGGGGCGAGGGTTTGCTTGAGGACGTGGTCGAATCCTCCCTTAATATCGAGGAAGAATGTGGAGACTTTTAGCTTGGCCAATTGCATCGCCTTTGTCTCGTGCATTAGGGTGGTGACTGCATCGGTGGTAGATATACCAGCGACTGACCCACACTGATGCGGGTGGATGAGGCCTGTGGCAGTTGCTATTTTTGCCAGGCGGAGTGTTACCATTTTCTCCAGTATTTTGGAGAAGGTTTGCAGGAGGACGATGATTCTGTAAGCTGCAGGGGAGGAGTAGTCGGTTTTCCCTGGTTTTGCGAGTATGACACCGTTGGCTCTTTTGAGGGAGAGGGGGTGGTAGCCATGTGTGAGGAGTGGGTTGAGGAGGGAGGCTATGATGAGTGGGTTTGCTTTCTGGACGCCCTTCCAGACACTATATGGGATTGTGTCAGGGCTTGGTGCTGAGAGGCTGGATGTTATCTTCAAGACAGATTGGACCTCGTCTGGGGTTATTGTTGTTACGTTTTGGTAACTTATGGGAGGGGGGGAGCAGCTTCCATTCTAGGGGGGAAGAATGTGTTGATAAGGTTCTTGTTGAGGAGGGTGGGTGTGGGGGAGTTGGGGAGTGAGGGGACACGGTCTTCCTTTCTGAAGGCCATTTTCTTTAGCCTCCAGAGATCTTGGGAGCTAGCGTTGGAGACAAATGAGTTCCAGTGGTTTTGCTTGGCGCTTTTGATTGCGTTGAAGTAGGCATTTTTGGCGGCCTTCATTTCGAATGGGGGGGCTCTGACTTTTCTCTATGCTCTGTGGACTGAGTGGAAGATGGTTCGGAGTTGGGTGAGGTTGCCTGCCCACCACGGTTTTGTCCATTTGGAGATCGTTTTTATTGGGGTGTGTCGTTTTATGATGTCTGTGATGGTGTTGAGGGACTTGTCGAACCAATCATCTATCATGGCTGGCATGGGGCATGGTGGGATTGTGGTTTGTTTGAGGTGGTTGTTGAGGAAGGCCCAGTCTGTTCGCTTCCAGTCGGGGGTTTGGAATGGGTGAAGTCTGTGGAGGGGAGCGATAATGCGATGGCGATGATTCTGTGGTCTGATCCTGAAGCGTTTGATAGGGAGGTCCATTTCCTGACCAGGTGGGAGACTTGTGCGTTGGCGAAGGACAGGTCTATAACGCTGTGTCTTTTATTGGGGTCAGGTGATAGTCTGGTGTATGTGCCCGGGGTGTTTAGGAGGAGGAAGCCGTATTGGGTTGCAGCTTCTAGGTATGGTTGTGAGAGGCGGAGTTCTCTTTGAGAGAGGGAGCGGAGGGGGTCGGCGGAGGGGGAGTGGATATTGAAATCCCCGAGGATTAGGTGGGGGTTGTCGGATGAGTTGAAGATGGTAGTGGGGCTGAGTGAGCGGGTGGTGTTGCCCAGTGGTCTGTTATAAATGTTGGTTATTGTGAAGGTTGTGTGGGTGTTGGCGCTTGTTTTGCAGAACAAGTTGGCGGAGATGATGTCACCTCTGTGGGATGGGAGGATGGCAAAGGAGTTTTTGTCTAGGGTATTGATGTTGAGGTATATGCATGTTGAGATTTTGTCTTCTGGTCTTGTTGGCGAGGGGCATAACAGGGTGAAGGACGGTACTGAGGGGGGTTTTCCGGAATGCAGGGGGGGTTCCTGGATTGTGACTATATAGGCTTGGTTGGTCATTGG